TTTTTTCACTCAAATAAAATAATTTATGCTTAGAAACATAAAAAATAATAATATTTATGTATCAATGGATAATTTTAGGCGTGAAAATAGCAGCAATTTCACAGGCACTTTAAGCATGGGCAGACTTATAAATCTTTTGCTACAAAATTTGAATTTGAGTTACTGGTAATTTCTAAATGAATACTAAAGATCATGCCCAAATTACTAAAACAACAAGTTATATTTCAGAAGTGTTGCTTTCCACCATATTGTATATGGGAGAAGACATAAAGAGGTCATTTTACTTTACATAAGTGGGTTGGGTCAAATGAAGATAGATAACTTTGATAAAAAGAAGGGATACCAAGGATGTTTTATCAAAAATGGATTCTTTTTTTTTGAGAAAAGAGACAGGCTAATTTTTCTATTTACATAAATATCTTGTCCATCCATTGTAGTTTGTTTTTAAATTTGATGCAACTAACGCATTGCCTAAATTTGCCTAGTCTAAAATGGTCCTACAGTATATGAATTTCATTACCTCATTATGACACTGTTGAATCATAGCAGAAACTATGATATACTGTTTTTTTTATGTGCATGGTATGATATATAGCAATTCATTTCACACCTGTTCTTTCAACCATTGTTTCCAGCTTATCTCCTCTTTCCAACACTTTGTCGATATTATCATGCAGTAACTCGGCAACCTCATCTACATCAGTCTGTAGCTTGCTTAGATTTGCATTCTGCTGTTGACCTGAAGCCTTTGCCCTTTAAATAACAAATCAGATATTCAATTTGAAACTAACTATCAATATTTTGGTGTAACTTTTCACATATTTTTAGCTTCCCTCTGTGCAAAGCACACGAGGGAGGTAATGAGTTTGGTGTGTCTGTGTGTGTGTGTGACTGTCTGTGTAAGCAACATTTTCAAAAACCTCGGGGCGATTTTTTATCAAATTTGGTACTAGTTTGACTAGAGGCCATGTTCATGCATATTAAGTAGCTAATTTGCATAATGATTTCACCCTGTTTATAAGTAAAATTCCAGCTAAAATAAAATATTTTACAGTAATTAATCAATCTGCATATTAATTATCTCATTTCAGTGTGTGTAAGCAAAATCTCAAAACTCTTAGCGGATTTTGGTCAAATTTGATACATACTAGGTACCTTGAAACAATATTAGTTTTGGAGCCATGTCTGTGCATATTAAGTAGCTAATTTGTATATTGTCTCATTTCAGCCTGTGTAAGCAATATCTCAAAATATTCAGATTTTTATCAAATTTGATACACATTTGTGCTGACACATCTGCTGGCTCATGATCCTAACCTCTAATGCCATTGGTTGTTCACTGACTGTTAACAATTTTCATTTCCTAGATTTTTTTTTTAAAACAATGATTTATTCTGTATTCACATTAGAGTTTAGCAGAGTTTAAATTTACTAATCATTCTATTATTTCTTTGTTAATCTGAACATAATTTTCTCAGCTATAGCTTTTTGTTATCTATAATTATATTAAATTGCAAAATTATATTCATTCGTGCTATTTAAAATAACATCTACTTCACAGTTGCTGTGATTGGTCTAAAGGTTTTCAACCACCATCTTGAGTTTATGAAAGTTATTTAAATATTAACAAATGAACCACATCCGAAAGCAACTAGAAACAAGTGTAGTACTAGTGTATGAAATATTGCATTACCTGCATATGAATGCTACATGTTCTGATATCATATGATGTACTGAATGATAAGATAAATGGCGCAAGCTGTTGATGACGGTCGTGATACATCAGTGATATATCATACAGAAATACCATTATGACATTGATGTTTGATTCAGCTGCTGAATGAATTCAAAGATGTGTGAATTTATGGCAGTAGATGTTGTCTTAATGAACGATGATTTTTTTTAATATTATATAGGTACTGTAAAATACTTTATTTTCGCTTGGAATTAATTTTTCGCTACTTTCGCTGAAAGAGTAATTCAGTGAAAATAAAATCCAGCGAATATATCTTTTTTCCTATATTTTACATTCAACTCACAAAAAATCACTGAAAATACATTCCATACAAAACACCGAAAAACTCTTTTCAGCGAAAATTAATTCCAGCTAAAATAAAGTAATCTACAGTAATGTTTTTATTTCATCTTAATAATATAAACATACAACACACAAAAGATTACATTACATAGTGTGGAGAGAAAAGGGAAGAAAAAATTAAGAAAGAAAAAACAAGCAGCCTCTCGGCTGAGATAGCTCCGCTGTTAGCAATGCACATTTCAATTAAAGAACAGAAGATATCATTAGAAAATGAACAATATGCATAGTATCAATGCAATGGGACTTGCTGTTTTCAACAAGATTTAAAAAATATAATTTTTCACAATAAATGATTGTGGTTTTTAAAAAAGAAAATATCACTTTTTACCAAAAATGACAAAAATATTCATCAAAATTAGAGAATTGAAGATATCATCATGAATTGAACAAATTTGAGAGTGGTGCACATGTAGTATCTATATATGTAATATCAAAGCAATTGGACTTGTCATTTTTAACAATAAGTCGAAAATATCACTTTTTACCAAAAAATGACAAAAATATTCACCAAAATTAGAGAATTAAAGATATCATTACAAAATGAACAAATCTGAGAAAGATCCACATGTAGTACATATATATGTAATATCAAAGCAATTGGACTTGTGGTTTTCAACAAAGAGTTGAAAATATCACTTTTTAACAAAAATGACAAAAATATTCACCAAAATTAGAAAATTAAAGATATCATTACAAAATGAACAAATCTGAGAGAGGTCCACATGTAGTACCTATATATGTAATATCAAAGCAAATGGACTTGCGTTTTTTAACAAGAAGTTGAAAATATCACTTTTTCCCAAAAATGACAAAAATATTCATCAAATTTAGAGAATTAAAGATATGATCATGAAATGAACAAATTTGAGAGTGGTCCACATGTAGTACCTATATATATAATATCAAAGCAATTGGACTTGTGGTTTTCAACAAGAAGTCAAAAATATCACTTTTTACCAAAAATGACAAAAATATTCACCAAAATTAGAGAATTAAAGATATCATTACAAAATGAACAAATCTGAGAGAGGTCTATATGTAGTACCTATATATGTAATATCAAAGCAATTGGACTTGCGGTTTTTAACAAGAAGTTGAAAATATCACTTTTTACCAAAAATGACAAAAATATTCACCAAAATTAGAGAATTGAAGATATCATTACAAAATGAACAAATCTGAAAGAGGTCCACATGTAGTACCTATATATGTAATATCAAAGCAATTGGACTTGTGGTTTTTAAAAAAAAGTCGAAAATATCATTTTTTACCCAAAATGACAAAAATATTCACCAAAATTAGAGAATTGAAGATATGATCATGAAATGAACAAATCTGAGAGAGGTCTACTCAAGGTACATATACACAAAGTATCAAAGCATTCAGGCTTGTAGTTTTCAAGAAGAAGTTGAAAAAGTAAAACATTGACACGGACGACGGACGACAGACGACGACGGACAATCACTCATATGATAAGCTCCGCTCGACAAAGTCGACAGCGGAGCTAAAAATTAATGATGGTGAAATGATACAAAATTCCTCCACATACCGGAACTAACAATAATATGCAAATCATCTCATACGTATGCATATTAATTTATTTACACAGAAATTAGTGAATGCAGGAGCATTGTGATAAATTTTGTATTCAGTCTTAGATATTAAAGGGTGGTAGTCATTCTGCTGCACATGTGCTACATTAGTGTTGATACACATTGATTTTCCCACAATTCAATGTGCTTTTCTAATGAAATCACTAGCACTAATTACTGCCGGAGACATTTTCGATACCTTCCAATCGCCAAACAAAAATACCTAATTTAAGCTTGGTAAACCTCTCAGTTTGTACTCGCTGGTTGGACAACAGTCAAAGCCGCCATCTATGTTTATATCTCGTGCATGTGTGACGCATGACCACTTCCCATTAAAACAATTTTGTTCAAAACATGATAACGTAATTTTTGATTTCAGCAATTACCAGATATCACATGATATTGAATGGAAAATTGAAAATAAAATTTCTATGAATACTAATCATGAATATTATGTTTGGTATTACTAACCCATTTTTTATGATTATTATAAATATTTATAAATTCCATAATTCGAACTGAAACAAGTAGTTTCAATTTGCTGATGGAATAACTTTGGAACATTTCTAGATGACGTCATGATGTGCACTATGATCGTTGATTGGCTGGTTGGATTCAACTGCCAATTCAATTGATAAATATTTACCCCAGAGTACCCAAGAATTTTGTTGTCAGCCGCTATAAAAAAAAGGGGGCTAAAATGTTGGGTTTAGGGCACATTTGAAAGCGGTTGTTTACTACGGGTACTATTTCATTTCTGTTAATATCCTCTTTGCGTTAATGTATTACTTTTTGCTCATTTGCCCACGTCACCAGCTCAAAACTTTTCGACACGTTTTTGTTTTGCTTCGCTTGGGCCGTATAATTGAATTAATTAATTAATAAGTAAAAAATATTATATATTTACGACAAAACGGCTGATGGTAATGTACAATGTAAACGTCACCAAAATCATCGCACGCATAACAACTTCAAAAATATGCATTGATGAGAACTTGAGAAGCAATGAGAAAATAGTTTTACAAGTTGAAAACAATTTTTATGTAAACCATTTTACCTACATGGTGAGCGTGAGGTGGTCAGTTAAATTGTTGATACGTCACAAATGTGTTGTCCTTTTAGACTTCCACCTCCAAGTCGATCTCTGGTAAACATTTATCTCCAAAATCAATAATAGTCATATGATACATGATACACGAGACCTCATTTGACCCCTGTACTTTTTGTCGTAAAATCGGCATACTGACAATGATACTCATTGCCGTAAGTCGGTTGTACATGCGCAGAATAAGCAATCTTTGGCGCCGGGTTCGTCATTGGTAATTCACGTGTACTGCGTTTCCAAACGCATTTTTCTGCCGTTTCCTAAACAATCCGACGTTCTTTTACCACAATGGACGGCCAGAAGTTAGTCGAGGTGTTGCAGCAGACCATCCATCCCGATACCCGGGAAAGGGCCGAACAAGAGCTCAATCAGGTAAAATGTCTTGACCGGGGGAACATCTGTGAAATCATTCAAAATGGCGGATTTACGGGAACACATTTCGCGCGAGTTGCGAAATAACCTTCTCAAGAGCACGTTAGTACTGCCAAAATTAAACAAATCATCCTCGAGCTGCAAACTAATGTTATGAATGTCATTGCAACTTGCAGTCCGCTCCCGATTGTTTGTATTTTCTACCGAGTACCGCCTACACATGTCATTTTTCCGATGAACGCAGCGACTACACGTTTTTACTACAACATGAAACATGATCGAATGACATTCAGAGATGAAACATGTGTACTTCAATATTATTAAATTTCAAAACTACATTCCATTTCACACATTATTACACGTCCGATTCCCCTCCTGCGCATTTGTTTTTTCCCTGCGAGGTTGATGATCTAACTTGCGTATATTCGAAAACACGCATTAACAAACTTTCAAAAGTTTTAAAACTCGACGATGTTTTGAAGTTGAGATGCCCTCCAATAATTTGCATATGCTGATAAATATAATAACTAGGTTATCTCAGTAGTGTTGCTACCTTGAAAATGGCTAAACTTTATGAAACATTTTTCTATGATAATTTGTACCAATAGTGTTTTCATAATAAGTATAGGTTAAAAATAATACATGTATTGTATTTTGTAATACCATAGATTCATGAATCCAAACACAAATGAAAAAATTAGATTCCTGTACTGCTGATGCTCACATAAATCCTATTTGTGCCTAATTTGTATTTGTTAACACCAATTTTGTGGGGGAAAAAATGCACTACTCAAGTGTCATGGCTGCCAACAGTCATGTGGAGATTTTTTACCTACATCATTTCAAATTTGATTGTGATATAGTAGTCATTGTAAAGGGCATGCTTAAGATTCCCCACAGGCATTATCATGGTCTTTTGAAGCAACGTAAAGGACCCCTATTGAACATTGCCCCGTGATCAATGTTCATTTTATGCAGCATTACTAAATGGGATCATGATGCTTGTATAAAACGACAAATTTTCAAGTTTTGTCCCCAACACTGCAATTGAATGAAACTTCAAGGTTCGTAAGCTAGTGAGATATGGAATGGTAATCTCAATTTGATGCTATGAGCAAGGCTACAAGAGAAATTGTTAGTTTTTGTCTTAGGTTGTGTTCCTGAGTCAGGAAATATCAGTATCAGTGCAGACTTCACTTTGTCAGGACCTAAGGTCACAGTGACTTTCACAAGAATTTATCTTTGTGATTGCTCTTAAATCAAGCCACAGTGAAGTGAAAATAGAAGTGTTTACAGTAGTTCATGCATTTACAGTATTGCTCTTCAGATCATCTTTCAAACATGTGAACACGGTTACTAAAAGAGACGGTTAGGAAACGCTATTGTTAAAAGGTGTGAATCTGCCTAATCCCTCTAGGATGCGTGTCGCGCTGTGCACGCCCTCTATTGCTTGAGATTTCAAGGCCCACCATTTTGTTTCATTTTTGTGTCGATCACTTGATGTTCCGCGAATTTGAAATTTTAAGCTCGTTTTCGATAGAATATTCACGTTTAGTGAACAAGCTCTACGAAGAACCACACGTACATTTCGGATGAGTACTCTTTGTGACTGTGAAAACATTCAGAATCGAGAATCGTCATTTATCGTTTTCACTGTTGTCATGAGAGTAAGCTTGGGTCCCGGTAGAAAAAGTGACAAAAATTCTAACCCCTAAGTCACTATTTTAAAATGCATTATATTATAAAAAATACTACCAAATGAATTTTTAGTATACTACTGTGCGTACTTATGAAGGTTGTGTGCGATTTGGGGGCTTATTAGAGTAAATTTTATCGTTTTTCTTTCGCGTCACTGTATCAGCCATTTTGTTGAAAGTCGTAACACTTTTTTTGTAGACGCCATAGAAATTGTTGAAAATGTATTCAACATTTTCCGCCAGTTTCATAAAATGCCTGTTTAATTGTTCTGTCTGTCCTTGTTTCAGTTTTTTGGAAAATTTTTCATGTTGCAATATTCAGCGTGCCGTTAAATGTGGTTTTAGTCAACGCTAGTGAACTGTCGGTACAACTTTCTAGCAGTCTCTTCGCCAAATCAATTTTTCGAACCCTTTTTAACCGTTCTTAATTTCATTGGAACTGCCTGTTGTTGCATATTTGATCTGCTTACATGCATTTTGTAGAGCATGGGCGGGTCATTTCAGTTATCTTATCGCATATTTTGTTTATTTCCAACAAAATGTACGTGGTATCATGGCTCCTCATTAAAACTTTCGCCTGGCTGAAATATAAACACTTGTATGGTTTCTTTGACGTCTTTTTTTCTGATCATGTTTTGTTGGTTTTTTTATTTCAGTTTTCTGTCGATCTTGTTATTTAGAAACGAAAATGCCATACAAGACAGGCAAATTTGTATTGAGTTTAAACCGAGCGACAAGTTTTGTCAGGATTCACTGTAACAACTTACACTTTAGTATTACTGAAAGTATCGACAGAGACACAATAAAATGGCGTGCAGTTGTTGATTGTAATGAACTCTGGGAAAAATGACGTCATAATTGCGTGATTTCCTGTCTACATTTTATGTCAATGATTTATCACAGATTAGTACGTCTTTTGTTTCAAATGTTTACCCGCGACACGCATCCAATGAAAAGAACATGGTTCGTTTCCTAACCGTCTCTTTTAGTAACCGTGATGTGAATGAAAGTCCTGACAGGAACTATGACACCATATAAATGTCTTGTTTCCTCTTATGATTAAGTATTAATACTTGACACATCACATGAAGAGGATGCCCTTCAGAATGCCCTTTAAAATGTAAACAAAATCCCACCATAAATAAAAATCACCCATACATGATCTTCCAAACATCACCTACATTTTTCTAGCACTTTAAATAGGCATCTACTATTAAAACTATATTCTGATTATGAGATGTTCATTGCTGTGAGACATTTCCATGATAACCGTAAAGATGTGCCTTGTAATTCATCTCTGAAATAGCAACACCTAAACATGTGGAAACAAATGTGTAAACACATATCTCTATTTTTTTTTTCTGATTTCTAGGTTCATAAAATAATAGGATTTGCACCGACACTACTGCAAGTTGTGATGAGTGATCAGTTGGAAATGCCAATCAAACAAGCAGGTGAGTGTACTTTATAATCAGAGATAATCTGACAAATAAAATATTAGGATACTAAGCCCTATTTTCATGAAATTTAGCCCTAACTTTCTCGATGATATTCAAGAATTTAAGACTTAACTTTTGATTACATGCACATTGTTGTGATCACGTCTGCTTTTTGACTGGCGAATTTCAAAGCAAAATTATGCGTCCTCAATAGATTAACAGTAGGATGTAATCTAGTATGATTTGAACATATTTAATACACTGTTTTCAAAAACTCAAACACTTGCGTAATAGAACGCGCGCAGCAAGAGATCTTACGTGAAACATTCTGTTCTTGTCGCTATTGCGGTTCTTTGGTTGAAGTCAAATTGCTGCTCTAAAATTTTCATGCAAGATGATAGTGTAACTACAAACTTGGTAAAAGTATGGTTATGGTCTCAAACCAAAGAGTTTAATCAGTTAACATTGTAAACATACTTTGCTGTGAAATACAAGTATTGAAAAGCCATAGACGTGTGGTAGGTTGTCACAGCAACTCAAATCTTGCTTAAAAACTGACCATGCTTAAATGCATCTTGCCGAGCATTAAACTGTATTGAATGATGGCTTGATAATAATAATACTGTGGAATACTTTATTTTCGCTGGAATTAATTTGCGCTGAAAAGGCTTTTTGGGCGTTTTGTATGGAATTTATTTTCACTGATTTTTGATGAGTTTAATGTGAAATATAGGAAAAAAAGTATATTCGCTGGATTTTATTTTCACGGAATCATCCCTCCAGCGAAAATAGCGAAAATAAAGTATTCTACAGTAATTTAATAATAATAATAATAATTTTTTTTAACACTTACACATTCCCCGGAGGGATTGGCAATGGTTACAAAAGTTTAAGAAGGAGTAAAAGGTTACAAAAAAGTAAATAGATAAAATAAAACAAACTAAGCTAATACATTACAGAGAATAGCAAGTATAAAATTATGATTATGATGGCTTGATAGTATACTGTCATATACTAAATTGTACAACTTTAACAATGAATATTTAATGCAGCTTTGGGTAGATCAACATTTTAGATATGAAATTAATGCATAGAAAATACTTTGATATGAGCCTCAACTGCTAATTGATAGATACTTCAAATCACGTCCTAGCAACTGGTGTACTTTTAATACAACTGGTGCCGTCAGTCATGGCTTTCATACTACACAACCTTGAATAATAACCTGCATGTTTTTAAAGCATTTAATGACTTTGTTTTTATTTTACATCAAATTTTACATGGAAGTATTTTGTGTGATGTTGATTCATCAATTACAGCTTGAACTTCAGCAGTATATATTCAAGACCGGCAATTTAATATACCAGCCTTCATTTATATTTAGATATTGAGAACTATATTTTATGTTACGTTGGTTTATATGATGCATGTAAATTTAAACTTGAAAAGAAAAATAAATATTTGAATAATGATTTAGCAATGTGCGCATGCAATGTACATGTATCCTGGTTTGAAAATCGGAGGAGACATGCTTATTCATGTGCTTTCTCCAGTTTAATAACATTCTAACAACAAATTGAATAGATCCTAGCATGATGGCAAATACCGTAATGTTTGTCAATACCTTTCACTGGTTTGGGCATTATAAAAAAAAATATTAAGATAGAAAGGAAAATAAGAAATGTATTAAAAGGTGTGGCTTCTATTGAAATGGTACAATACAACAGAGTGGATGTGGTTTTATATTAGAGCTTCTATACATGTGAAAAATAGGGTATTTTTGGTTCTTAATTGTTCAAAAAGAATGGATGCGACTTCAACTTGTAGAGCTGTTAACCAGCTTGTCACTGCTCATATTAAATATTAGTTTGTATAGTATTAGTGTGTTCATCTCGTCTTTTCTCTCTCTCTCTCTCTCTCATCCCTATCTTTTTACCTAGTGCATGCATTTACATAAAGAGGTATTTCTTACTACTACCATAGCTGCAATCAAAAATAATTTTTGATGTTATAATTTTTTTTTACAGGTGTGATTTATTTGAAGAATATGGTTGCACAATATTGGAGTGAACGAGAAGCAGAAAACGTTGGTGACCCTGTGCCTTTTAGTATACATGAACACGACAGAGCTGCAATCAGGGAGCACCTGATAGAAGCCTTGATCACAGCACCGGAATTGATCAGGTTTGTACGCTTATGGTACACATGTGCCTTTACTATTCTCAGTAAACATAGATCACTTGTCTTTTATCGTTCTCAGTAAACATGTAAACATAGATCACTTGTCTTTTATCGTTCTCAGTAAACATGTAAACATAGATCACTTGTCTTTTATCGTTCTCAGTAAACATGTAAACATATATCACTTGTCTTTTATCGTTCTCAGTAAACATGTAAACATAGGTCACTTGTCTTTTATCGTTCTCAGTAAACATGTAAACACAGATCACTTGTCTTTTATCGTTCTCAGTAAACACATAAACATAGATCACTTGTCTTTTACCATTCTCAGTAAACATGTAAACACAGATCACTTGTCTTTTATCGTTCTCAGTAAACATGTAAACACAGGTCACTTGCCTTTTACCATTCTCAGTAAACATGTAAACATAGGTCACTTGCCTTTTACCATTCTCAGTAAACATGTAAACATAGGTCACTTGCCTTTTACCATTCTCAGTAAACATGTAAACATAGGTCACTTGCCTTTTACCATTCTCAGTAAACATGTAAACATAGATCACTTGTCTTTTACAGTAATTAAATTTTGCATTCTTTTACTGTACTGTGCAGAGTACAGCTCGCTGTCTGTTTATATCAGATCATTAAAGCAGATTTTCCAGGGCGATGGACTGGCATTGTCGATAAGGTGGTACACTATTTACATGCGGACAACACCAGTGCTTGGTTTGGTACACTGGTAGCTATATATCAGTTGGTAAAAAACTACGAGTGAGTATTGTCTCTGTATTCATTGTGATGTTGACGCTATTCGATCTATTAGTTAGGAACCTTTTCAAGTCTTTGTTATAAGAAGCTCATTAGACCAATAAAGTTATTAATACAGTACGAGATGGTGGTTGTGAGTTCTAATTTTGTGAAGTTCAGAACTGATCTCAGTAGAAAAGACAACACAACAAACCAATCCTACAAATTTTGTTGAGTTTAAATGGCCACATTATAGAAAACGTGATCATCAATATTTGATAGTGCCAAAACTAAAACTACAGTGAATTGAAATTAAATGTGCAAAAACATATCCTATGATAATAATACAACATTTCATTGATCCTCCAAGTGAAACAATATACAAATAATAATAAAAAAAAATAGTTTTAACTCCATTTAACTGAATTTGTTTCACAGATATCGAAAACCAGAGGAGCGAGCTCCATTACATGCTGCAATGCAGCTTATTTTACCCCTAATTCATCAGCGATGTCAACAACTGTTACCTGATGCATCAGAACCATCAGTTCTTATGCAGAAACAAATTTTAAAAATCTTCTTCGCACTCATACAGGCAAGTCTGTACAATATTTATATATATGAATGCTGTGCTAAAAAAAATGTCTAACTCTAAGCTGCATATTTTATTCAGACAAACTTTGTTTGTCGTATTTTTCTCCAATTTTTTTTTTTTTTTTTTTTTTTTGGGTCTGATGGACATAATTTCTAATTGGCTTCTGTTCTTGATCAACATTTTAGAAATTAATAAAAAAAAATCTGCAGTTTTGATTGAAAGGTGGCAAGAGTTGACTTTGACATTTAGTGTTAATCCTATTTGGCAGTTAAAAAATTAGACAATGTATTGATAGTTTAACTCTAAAGTGTCACCTTTCACACATTATATCCACATCCGCCTTTTTTGGCTTGCATGAAATGGGGAAAGTTTACGTTGTTTACATACTAGGTAGAGTACAATAATTGTGTTTTCTTGTCACCATAACAGTACAATTTGCCGTTGGATCTAATTACACGGGAGACGTTTACCAATTGGATGAAAGTTATAAAAGTTATCCTGGATAGGCCAGTCCCGGAAGTAAGTCAACTTTGAATTTATGTATGTATTCACTTTTGTTATCTGTACTCATTGGAATGATTCAATGTTGGAATTTGCCGTCCAATGATTAAAAAAAAAATTATTGATTTGTGATGTTCGTTGACAGGAAACCCAGCAGGTTGATGTAGATGATCGACCAGAGCTGGTTTGGTGGAAGTGTAAAAAATGGGCCATGCATGTTATCGCAAGAGTTTTTGAGAGGTAAGAGCACCACAGCTGTCACAGAAAAATCTCTGCTGTGTACGTATGTGTGCAGATACACGTGTCTTTTTCAACCGAAGCTTCACCGTGGCTTAGCAGTGATTTGTTTCACCCCCCCCCTCTCTCAAGAATACTGCCCTGTTATAAATAAATAAGGTGATATTCTATAAAAGTTGTATTTGTGTCAAATAACTGTAAATCATAACATCATGTGATTAACTATTCATGAGACGTTTGAGTTTGATTCGGACAAACAAATGAGTAAACAAAAACTAAACTACCAACAGACGTGTTTATAATTATTGTGGAGTTAACTTTCTTCATGGCTTTGTTCTGGCAATAACATTTCTTGGAATTCACCAAAAAAAAAAAAAACCACAGCAAGGTTGAAGTTGAAAATTGTTTTAAAGTCTGCGCACATGATTATGTTAGTTCTATATTTAGTAAGATCTGATCATCTTGTAATCTGAGCAAATTCTATTGTTGATGATTTTTCACAAGATATCAGAGGTGATGCAGTTGCTATGGAAACGAGTTTCAGACAACATTTCTCACTTGGTATTAAAGTCTGCACAACAGCGAGATAATCTTGAGCTCTGATTTCACTGTCATGCTCAATTGGTTGGATGAATTTATAGATGCCTTTCCATGTTGATATCTTTCTGTTTATTTTCTCAGGTACGGAAGTCCTGGCAATGTTACTAAAGAATACAATCAATTTGCCGAGTGGTACATCAAGGTGTTTTCCAGTAAGTGAGTGCTGTATGTTTACGTACATCAAAGCTGAAATATAGAGATGCACTCCCGTCATTATGAAACCTTTTGGGAAATGTAATATATTGTATTTGCTCTATTATTAGCGCATATGCTTGTGTAAATTACAGAGGTGTTTATATGGCCTATACAAGTAATATTTTGATGATTCAGTATACAACAAATGTAATTTTTTTTGTTTATGTGCAATTCTAATAGAGCAAATATGGTGCTTTCATTTCATTTGCAGATGAAATTTTACATGTTTTATGTAGATATTTGGATCAATACAGAAAAGGGATCTATGTGTCACCTCGTGTTCTCCAACAAACATTGAACTATATTAACACTGGGTAAGTCACAACGAACACTCAACAACATATTACTTGATGTTATCAGTGATTACTACCTTTATCTTGTGCCTAGAATATACAAATTATATTTTGATTTCTGTGTACGTGAGGAGAATCTCCCGATCATAGTACTGTGGAAAAAATGTTTGTTGGGGGTTTGTTCTGTTGATAAGCGACCTTGCTGTAGTGAATGCCCTGGTAATCAATTGAAAATTATTGTTACAGGATAATATAACCAATAACCAACCAGAGTTTAACATTACTTTATCATTGCTGACTAATTTGCATTCCAAGTCCCACTTTCAGATCCCCTGCAACGATATGATGCGTACAATTCGCTGCCGGTATGCTCCATCAATGCAAAAACAAGGCTTGGAACGCACAGTCAGCAATGGCCACTGCATGAAAAAATGTGAATTACAAAAGTGTAATCACTGTATATCTTGATTTCAGTGTGACGCATGCTGTATCATGGAAAGTTCTTAAACCACATGTGGAAGTGATGATAAAAGAAATAGTCTTCCCTTTAATGTGCTACACCGATGAGGACGAAGAGTTGTGGAATGATGATCCATACGAATATATTAGGTCGAAATTTGGTAAGTATAGACAGGGAAAATATGCGTCAAACAAGAAACATGTTCTGTTGTACGCCCTATAAATACTGTAAAATACTTTATTTTAGCTGGAATTAATTTTTGCTGAACAATTTTTAGCTGTTTTGTGTGAAATTCATTTTCACTGATTTTTGATGAGTTGAATGTGCAATTTTCACTGAATCATTCCTTCAACAAAAATAGTGAAAATTAATTCCAAACAAAATAAAGTATTTTACAGTCGAGAAAGCATATGCTTTATTGTGTTACTTACAGTATATGTGATCCTGAACACGACTTGCTTTTAATCACATGTAGTCTGAGGTAATGTGTTCTTGTGATCAATCAGATAAGGATGAGAAGTTCTATTCCCAAATCTGTCTACGTTACCCATGACAACTATACACTGCTAACCTGTACATCACTGTGGAGACATTGATTTTTATTCCAGGGTGAAAGATATGTTGCTCTATGTCATCAAATTAAATTAAATTATCCTAATTTTTAGATGTCTTTGAAGATTTCATCTCGCCGGTGATGGCAGCGCAAACCCTTTTACACACGATTGTGAAAAGTCGGAAACAGATGCTGGAGATGTCAATGGGATTCTGCAGAGATATACTGACAACTAAAGACGTGGATCCTAGGAAAAAAGACGGTGCCCTCCATATGATTGGTACATTAGCTGATATTTTACTCAAGGTACATCTGTATAATTATTCTTGGTTGTATGAATCGCAATACTTACTTTGTTTCTATGTCACTTCTTATTTCTGCCAGAGAGGGCATACTTTAGATTGAGAGGTTGATGTGAAGGAAGCACACTACTGTGGAATACTATTTTCGCTGGAATTAATTTTCGCTGAAAAGGCTTTTTGGGCGTTTTGCTTGGAATTTATTTTCACTGATTTTTTTCATGAGTTTAATGTGAAATATAGGAAAAAAAGTATATTCACTGGATTTTATTTTCACGGAATCATCCCTTAAGCGAAAATAGCGAAAATAAAGTATTCTACAGTATTCCAATACTCATTGCTTTGTATTATAAATAATCCCTAACTAGTGCACTTGTTCTCTCATGTTGCTATGGTGATCCACACATTGCTGTATGTCAACAAGCAAAGGAGACTTATTCAATAATCACTTTTTTTTTGTCAATTAACAGAAAAAAAAGTACAAACCTCAGATGGAGTTGTTGGTTTCATTTCATGTTTTCCCAGAATTCAATAATCCGTTGGGTTACATGCGAGCAAGGGTAAGTAGAAATAATGATCATGATATCATGTTTTGTTGTGTTTGATTTTGTGCAAAATCTGTTCATTTCCATAAACAATTTGGATTCGGTAGTATACAAATTCTCTGGCAGAGATATATTCCCTAATGAATGCGACCTTGAGGTAACGATAGTTAAGGTAAAGTGTCACTTCCTATTCATTTGGTTCTAAATGATATTAAATTTTTAGAAAATTATAAATAAATTCTGTGCACATCAAAATTAATTTTTGTCACCTTCCATAAAATAAATCTTTTTAATATTTTTTTTGGCAATTTTGATCAAAACCTGTTGCCAAGGGGAAATTATGTCCATTTTATCACAAATTAACAAAGAAATAAAAAACAAATTTGTAAAAAATATGCAAAATGTGTGCATCACGGGAGAAAAAATGTTGGCATTCAAAAAATTAATGTCAAAGTAGGTTGAAACTGAAAAAGATGGCTATGAAAAGGGATGCATACATACATACATACAAATGCAACTTGGTAGTAGAAAGTTGAAACTAAGCAAAAATTTTATGTGTTTTGGGCAGGCTAATTGGGTGATGCACTACTTCAGTGAGATTCAGTTTAAGGACGAGAAAAATCTTTTGAAAGCTCTCGATTTGACGAGAAAATGTTTGTGTGAAGAGAAGGAACTTCCTGTGAAGGTAGAAGCTGCCATTGCTTTACAGATGTTAGTCACTAATCAAGACAGTGCTAAAGATCATTTACATCCCTACGTTAAAAATATCTTACAAGGTAAGCTGTTAATTGATTTCTCAGTCAAATTTACATGTAATGTCACAAATCACAACGTAATTAAATCATTTACATCTCTGTGTTAAAAATATCTTACAAGGTAAGCCGTGAATTGATTTCTCAGTCAAATTTACATATGACGTCACAAGGCATGACATAATGGAATTATTTGAATAAACAAATAAGTAAACAAAAACTAGAAGAACAGCGACATGTCTAACTTTCTTGGCATTGAAATAAATTAACAATTGTTTTAGAACAGGTGGTAAACTGCTTGTGTTCAAAAATCGATAAACACCTTTCGTGCTAAACAACGTTCTATGGTTAGTAAAATACTCTAATGGTTATAACAGGAAAACTTTTTTTGTGCATTGTCTGTCTTATCTCCAAATGATTTCACATTTTTCAAGCATTATTACTATATCTTGCAGAATTACTTCATGTCATCCGTGAAACGGAAAATGATGACTTGACAAATGTTATGCAGAAATTAATTTGTACTTACGGAGAAGACATTATTCCAATAGCAGTAGATATCACGCAGCATCTTGTGAGTATGATAGATTTAGTGTCTGCCACCTTCAATTCCTTCCTTCTAGTGTCTGCCACCTTTGTAATTCAAATTACTGTAAAATACTTTATTTTAGCTGGAATTAATTTTCGCTGAAAAGACATTTTGGGTGTTTCGTATGGAATTTATTTTCACTGATTTTTGATGAGTTTAATGTAAAAGTAAAATATAAAAAAAAGGTATATTAGCTGGATTTTATTTTCACTGAATCCACTCCTTTAGCAAAGATTAATTTCAAGCGAAAATAAAGTATTTTACAGTACCCTTTTGTCATTTGGCAACATTATTGGTCTGAAATATATTTTCCATTGTCTCACTAATTCTGCTTTTTCACATGATTTCAATGAGGTGTTTTTAGGAAAGTTGGTTACATCAATATCTTGTTGCATTTCCTAAGATACAATTTGCCGTGCAATATAATGTATTGAAACCAATCATTATTTATTTTAGGCAATGACATTTAACCAAGTTGTAGACGCGGACGATCAGTCAGATGACAAAGCTATCACAGCAATGGGAATACTAAATACAATAGAAACAATATTAACAGTTATGGAAGATGAAAAAGAGGTGCGTATGTTAGGTTTGAGGCTTAATGATATATATTTACCCTTCGCTACTATTACCTACTATTGCCAGGTGACTTGCCAGACTGATTGAATCGAGAAACCATTCCATTTTCTTTTCGATTTTGTATGTAAACTTTCCTTTGGCACTTGATTCCCTAGGTCGGTTGAAATTATACTGTGGCACATAATTCTTTCGTCTGGTTGAAGTAACTTTCAGCCATTTGACTTTCTAGAGTGGATCAAAATTTTCCCGTATACTGGTTTAAATTATTCAAGTGACTTGACTCCCTAGTATGTTTAAAATTATTTAGGTACTGGACTCTTTGGCTGGTTGAAATTGCTCCAGTACCACTTTACCTCCTACCTGATTGAAATTATTTTAGTACTACTTGACTCCCTAGCTGATTGAAATTATTTTAGTACTACTTGACTCCCTAGCTGATTGAAATTATTTTAGTACTACTTTGATTTGAATATAACTCTTGTTGAAAATGTTACAAACTTGTTGTCAGTATTAGTGTGTGTGTGAATTTAAAATTGTGAATTGTAATGTTGTTTTTTTTCAGATTATGAAGCAGTTAGAGGGAATTGTATTGAATGTTATTGGAACTATTTTACAGCAAAATGTCATTGGTAAGAAATGGAATCATTGTATTTCACTGACCTGTGTTTTACTCATTTCTACAATGTCATTGTATGTTATAAAATTGAGGGTATGCAACTTTCATAACCATGAACTGTATTATGTGATGGGGGAAACAAACAAAGCGATCCAATTCTTTGTGTGCCAATCAAATGTATTATCAATTGATAACGAGTAGTATCACAGAAATTGATGCTTGGAAATGTACGATAGCGTAAATAGAGATGTGTGCGATTATCACCATCTTCAAAAACCGCAAAAAACATGCGTATTACTTGATTGACGAAGTCCAAGATGAACTTGAATAATTTTTTTCATAGACTCACTAATTTTAATTTTAATCGTGTGATTTTTGTTGTTGCCTAGATTGCATTTCATGTGACTTCTCAATATATGCGTGATTTTTGCGGCATATCAAACGATTGCATACCTTAATCTTATAAATCATGTTAATCATGTTCACTTGAGGCAAAAAAGAAATTGGTGGTTTAATCAAAATTATTGCATTTCTGCTTTTATCAATTATGAATGATGTTCTTTTTGCAGACTTTTATGAAGAAGTATTATCGTTGATATTCAGTTTGACCTGTAGTCACGTCTCTGAACATCTTTGGCAAGTTTATTTCATGATTTACGACATGTTCCAAAAAGACGGTTTTGATTATTTTCTTGGTAAGTAACAGTTTGTCCTAGAGTTTCAAGGGCGGATAAGCAAGGATAACAAGTTTGTGATGTTGCCTATAAAGTACTGCTATATGTACAATTGATGCCAAGGGCAGATAAAAAGGGCAAGCATTATTTGTATTGCTATGAGGCTATTGGGATATTTTATTTGCTCCATTAGGAGCATGCATGTTTACACAAATAACATGTTTAAAAAACGAATAAAAGTGAGTTTGGTGTACTTTAATTAACTTACTATTGCTCAAGGCTCAAAAACATCTTGGTACTAAAATTGAATCTTCTTAGCCTGAATAATACATATTGTGTGAAATAAAAAAAAAAAAATACGACATTGTTACAGATTTGTGACACTAGATTCGATTGTCAACTTTTATCTTTTCAGAAATGATGCCAGCCTTACACAATTTTATTATCGTTGATCCTCCTGCTTTTCTTTCGGATCCCAAAAGAATTGAAGTAATTTATAACATGTGTAAAAAGGTGTGTCTCGTATAAAAATTATGTTTCAAATGGTTTGTTGCAGTGTATACATAGGTGTAAATGCATTTTCACTTTCGTGGTGTTGAAAAGAACGAAGTATTGAAATGGAAAGATCAATAGATCGACGACACACTGATATTATTTGTTTACTATTTTTGCCAACCAGCATTATATTTATAAAAACTTGATAATAATACATTGTTATCGTATAATGAGCTTGTTTTGATGCGCATTGGTGTAAAGCATTTACAAAATGCATTCTTCTTTAGATATTCCAGAGTGATGCAGGCGAAGACCCAGAATGCCATGCTGCCAAATTATTAGAAGTTATTTTAATCCAGTACAAAGGTCTCATAAATCAGGTAAGTATTTTGTATATAGATGGAATAAAACTCATTGTGCCCTGGTCTGCTGAGTATATTTGATCTTGACTGTATTTTCTCTTCACGCAGGTTGTTCCGTTGTTTGTCGAGCTCGTTTTAGACCGGCTCACCCGCGAAGTGAAGACGAGTGAACTTCGAACCATGTGTTTACAGGTCGTCATAGCGGCACTCTACTACAATCCGATTCTACTGTTTGAGGTTTTAGAGAAGATGCGACTACCAAACTCGGATCAGTCGATAACGCAACAGTTCTTGAAGCAGTGGTTGAATGACACAGATTGTTTCTTGGGGTGAGTATACGAGTGGGCAGGCATGGCGAGAGCTTTATCTCTTATCGTCATGTTTTGGTGATCAGTTGAATTAAAGACATAGTTGTATGCACAAATTCACAATTGCAAATATTTAGATATTTTGATGTACAAATATACAAATATTTAGTTGCTCTTGTCGTGGAGGGTTAAAAAAAAATTAAAAATAATTATCATCAATGAAAGCAAATTATACATCACCACTAAAGTCGTTTACTTTCAAACTACGGGGAGAGTAGGAAATCAAACAGGCAGTGCATCGCAGTGTACCGCAGAACGCCAAGGAGAGCTGCGGACTGCTTATAATTAGGGGTCTCTACTTCGGTACCAGTCGCAACCGCAGTCGTTGGTAAGGTGGGAAATACGTACTTAAGTTTCTTTGTGATTTCACGAGTCATTGTTTTAAATAACTGTTTTAAAATTCACCAGATCAACGCTGGTATGGAAATTTATCAATCCAAGTATTTCAACTAAATCCGATGCTGTAAATGACTTGTTTGTGCATGAAAATGATATGTACGCTTGTTCAGTATTGTGTACATGTATTTAGCGTCAATTTCAAAAGAGATGTGATACAATTTTTCATGATAGGTGTAATGACTCGTCAATAAATGTTTACATTTATTACACTTAAATAAAACCTACAATTGAAAAAAGGACTATTGACAAAGTTTCATCGTATCCAAGCCGTATCCTGATTCTTGATTTATTTGATAATGGTAGTTATCATGTTCATCATTTGTGTTACACTCCAGAAAAAAAGACCAGCAAACTAGAAACTGGCAACTAATCAAAACAGGTCAAGCTGTCTGCGTTGCACTGACAGGATTATTTTCTGTACGTTTCATAAATCTAGCCTTGTGCATGTATTCTTGTGTTGACAAAATCTTTTTTAAACAAATGACGTTATTTTTTAGTCCCTGTTCGGACGCAGTCCAAAAACTAGGACTTATGTTTTGACCTCCGTGTGTCTGTCCATGCGTGCGTGAAATGCCTGGACCAATCACAATCAAACTTCACACAAACATCATACATTATATTATACATATGCACGTCAATTTGTTTCATCATCTGATTCAAGATGGCCGAATGGTGGCCATTTTTGTGCTAAAAATCATCAAAATCAAGCATTTCCCATCTGTTTACAAATGGATTTTGTTCAAACCTTGTATATACGTTGGACATTATAGGACATTGATGCACATCATTTTGTTTTACGATCTGTTTCAAGATGGCCGAATGGCGGCCATTTTTGTGCTAAAAAATCCTAAAAATCAAGCATTTCTCGGCCTTTTTACAGATGGATTTTGTTCAAACTTGGTATATACATTAGACAATTATGAGACCTTGATGCAAATAATTTTGTTTTTCAGATTAGATTCAAAATGGCCGACTGGCGGCCATTTTGTTAAAATGAATGTGGTTCTCGTGCCATATGTCTGACTTGCTTTCACTGATTATGTTCAAATTTTAAATATTCATTATACATCATGTCATAGATAGACATATAT